CTCTCTCTTCTCTCTCTCTCTCTCTCTCTCTCTCTCTCTCTCCACCCTCTCTCTCCTCCCTCTCCCTCTTCCTCTTTCCCTCTCCCTCTTCCTCTCTGTCTTCCTCTCTCCTCTCCCCCTCTCTAGTGTGTGCTTGCGAGCTAGCTAGTGAGATACTAGCAGTGCTGCTCGGACTACTCCCAAAGCGAGGCCGAATTTGCCAAGTCTAGCTGTGCAAGGTTTGATAAGAAGTGACGCACGAAGTGGCAAACACTGTTAAGCTGTAATGGGCAAAAAAAGAGTCGGGTGATGTGTGCGTTGCTGAGGCGCCCTTTAAGTAACCCCAAAAAATATCCCTTTTTTAAGTGTAGGTATACATTATTCAGCACTGTTTAGCTTCAGCGCTGGTAACCTGCGTGACAACAGGCAGGCGACAGTACATCGCAGGGGCATAGCGCGACTCACGGGTGCTTGCCTCCCTTCATCAAAGCGCCAGCTACCCCAGCAGATTTCTGGATGCGGCTCGCAGGCAGGCACCGCCAGACATTTCGCCGTCGCTAACGGAGCACTGGGGTTGGAGCGCTGCAACGCTGTTGAATCTTGTTCCGTCGCGTGGCTTCCACACAGTGGCTGGCGGTGCGACCAGCTGCGCTGGATGAAACTATCCAATGAGAGGTGCATCCAGCGGAAGCAACCACGAGCACCTGAAATCGTGAATGACGCAGTGGAAGTTAGGGGATGAACTCCCTGCTCCCTCCTCTCCACGATGTATAAGAGCATCACGCGCCTCTGCTGTATGCATTCTATTCGCAGCGCAAACTCATCATCCTCGTGCTTTACTTAGAGACTCCGAGTCGTTTATGATCCACTCCGAGTGGAGTCCACTTCACGGTTCCCGAAATCACCTCACGTCCAGCTTGCGGCTCCATCCAGCCATGGCCCGGATGACGTCACTTGCTCGCTCGGCGTCGTTCGACTTTAAGCGCCTCGTCGTCGTCGTCGCTGGTGAGCCCACCGCTCGTACGCACCCTGCATGTCGCCTCGTCGCCTTGTCAGGTCAAGCGAGTCGCCTTGTCAGGTTGTCGCCCTTTCATGTCGCTCTTGCTTCAACCACGAGTCGTTCGAAGGAATCGCAGCGCGCCGCGCGGGGGTGCTTCAGCTTGTCGCCTTATCATGATGACACTCTTGCTTGAAAGTCGCTGTGCAACACTTTGCTGATGCTGCGTCTGCTCGGCTGCTCGGCTGCTCTTCGAATAAGAGGCAAAATCTACTACATCATGAACGGTTCGCGTCGGTCTGCTCCGAGTCGTTCGTTCTGCGATGATGTCATTCTGACGTCGGCTTTTCTTTCCTGCAGTGCTGCTCTCACTCGCCGGCAGCGCCATCGCAGATCGCCGAATGCTCCTCATCGAGAATCGCTGTAAACTCTCGTATCACTCATGCTTCGCACGCGGCGCTCACTCGCTGCACTCTTCGCTCTCTTCGCAAGAGGCTCTTCGTCACTCTCTCGCTGCAACCGACGCTCTCTCGCTTCACGCGGCGCTGCTCTCTCGCTGCACGCGCCGCTCTCTCGCTGCGCGCGCCGCCACTATTTTGCTGCACGTGCTGTCTGCGTTTTCGTCGCTCTCTCACTGCATGGACCGCCGTTGTTTTGCTGCACGCGCTAACTGCGTTTTTCGTCCTCTCTCGCTGCATGCGCTGCTCTTTCGCTACACTCGCCGCTCCCTGCTGCACGCGCTCTCTGCGTCTTTCGTTTGGTACGCATTATCATCACTTTCTTTGAAACCTCGTCCTCCTCATTTTGCCTTAAACAAAAGTTCAGAGGAAGTTCTCTGCTTCTCATTTCCGTCTACTGTTGCCCTTAGTTTCTTTCTTTAAGGGAGTCTCTTCTCCATAATGCATCCCAAATTTGTTTTTTGGGGGGGGGTAACGCGCAGACTCAGCATCTGCTATGTTAAGGAACACGCCTTACTACTGCCCCAAGGCAACGAGCGTCATGGCCGCAAACGTGTAAGCATCACCTCGCGTTGAATTCTCGCCTAATTTTAGCGTTCAACACTTGCATTTTTCGAGAAGCAATTCTTCTCACGCACGAGCTCGTAGTACTCATCAGATTGTCACGCGGGGAGGCTCCCCAGTACTTAGTAGCAATATAGATCTTCCGAGAGATATTAGCAAGAATTCATGCAGAATACTATTCTAGACAAGCATTCCCTCTCGTGCTATCATCCTCCTTTCTCCTCCAACCTGCTCTCCTCCCCTCGGCACCACCCATCCCATCTCCCCAATATCTCCCCTTGCAGCACATCTACTGTCCAATCTACCAAATTCTTCTTGCGCGTCACCTTAGACACCACATCGAGGCCAACATTCACCAAGCCGAGATACACCGTCAACGGCAAACTGGTGTCCGAGATGCCGTGCACATTCATTGCGGTACCCACAAGGGGTTACTTGGAGTGCCTCATCGAAGAGAAGGTTTCTCTCGCTTCCGCTTTTCAGACAGTCGGCACCTTGCAGGCCTTGATCAACTCCAAGTTGTTTGACGGATCGGTCCACGTTCTTTCTCTTACAGTTAACACCTGCAACTTGAAGGGTAATGTCACAACAAGTTCATTGTCTCTCTGAGCATGAGATAGCAGTAGAAAAGGTAGCTCTTAGTTGGGAGTTTTGATCATAATTATTCTCAAGTCCACGGCCTGTGCTTCTAATCTAAAACACAAAGCAAGAATTTCACCCACAAAGCAAGCTGCAAAACACCCGTGCCCAACCACCAATGCATTTCTTTCCATCCGGGCCCATCCACTAAGTGTGCCTCCCACAATCCTCCTCGCCATAGCACCCCACCTAAGGCACCTCCCTCACTTCAGCGTTACCTCACCTCTCTCTCTCCTCCCCTCTCTCTCATTCCTTGCCTCTCCATCTTTACCTCTCCCTCTCCCTCTCCCTCTCCCTCTCCCTCTCCCTCTCCCTCTCCCTCTCCCTCTCCCTCTCCCTCTCCCTCTCCCTCCCCCCCTCCCTCTCGCTCTCCCTCCATTTCTCCCTCGTCCTCCGCTGAAATGCCACCACCCACTTCATCAAATCAAGCACCCACACGTGGAGGGAGGGAAGGGGGGGGGAGAAGGATGAGGAAAAATGCTTCAAGGGGGAGTGGAGAAGCTAGAAAACACAATGATAAGATACAGAAGTGGGTTGAGGGCGTGTTCCTACGGCCTCGTATCAAGAAACCTTGTATCAGGAATGGAAATACTCGAGAAATTTGTTTTAAAACCCGACTTGAGGACTTGTATTGCGCGATAAAAAAAAAATCAGCAAACCACGATCCACATCAGCAAACCACGTCCAGGGATTCTGTCAGAAACTAACGAGCAGGAATGATTGCATTGAGCAGAATGTGGGTACAAGTGCTAACCCTAAATTGGGTTGTTCCCTATATGGGCTACCCCACTACAGCCTACACAGCACAAACATGATAACAGTTTGACACACCCCCATAGGCAAAGTGGGGGAGAACTAGGGGTCACAAGACCAGTCAAGAAAAGCAAAGCAAGCCCAGGGTGGATCACAAAGTCACCACACATTCTGAGCACAAGCAAATGGCCACAAGGCCAGTTCACATGCAGAGTTATATAAAACAGAGCAAACAGTGCAGTGACCACTACCTAGCAAGAGTAAGCATGCAAGTATATATATAGATCACAGTACAAGCAAAGTCATGCAGTGAGCAAGTGAGACAAAGCAGGCACAAGGCCTAAAGCAGTACAAGAATGCTGATGATCACCAGGCGGAAGTGCCTTGGTGAATATATTAGCAGTGTTGGCCCGAGTGGCCACGTAAGCAAGACGAAGCTGACCACGCTGCTGCAGCTCTCGAGCAAGGAAGTAACGCAGAGCGATATGCTTCGTTCTGTGCTCCAGTCTGTGCTCCTGACATAAGGCAATAGCGGCCTTGTTGTCTACGTACAGAACTGGAGGAGAACGAGGCCGCTCTCCCAAGTCGGTCAGCACGTAGGTGAGCCAGCGTAACTCCTGTGCAGCCATGGCTCTTGCGTAGATCTCAGCCTCACAACTGGAGCTAAGAACAGAAGACGAGCGGGTAGACCGCCAAGAAACAGAGCCGAAGCAAAGGCTGAACGTGTAACCCTGTGACGACTTCTGCGTTGCCAGGTCGTCAACCACGACGAGTCTGAGTGTCCAGTGAGGACAACTGGACCCCGCCCTCCAAGCACGAGCCCCATGCCCGATGTACTGCACAGGTAACGCAGTACCCTCTTCGCAGCATCCCAGTGCACCTTTTGGTGTCTACCAGGAGCCACGTAGCGTGCCAGAAGGCCAAGAGGGTACGCAAGGTTAGGACGAGTGCAGGTCATCGGGTACATGAGGCAGCCCACAAGCTCTGGATATGGGCCACTCGGCTCTACGGACTCGTCCAAAGGTGGAGTTGAGAGCGAGTGTCTGGTAGCCAGAGGAGTGGGCTATGGCGAGGACCAAGAGAAGCCAAAGCGCTGAAGGACCTGCTGCACCATGTGGGACTGAGTCAGGGTGATGGTGCGCCGTGCTCTGTCTCGGGTGATCTGCAAGCCAAATTACCCAGCTCACCCAGGTCTGTGCACGTGTGTCTCTTCTGTAGCTCCGACTTCACAAGGGCGAGTGCCTCAGTGTCAGCAGTGGCAAAAACCAAGTCGTCGACATACACGAGGATGTAGAACGGCAGCACCAAAGTGTCGGTGCGGAGAAACAGCGACGGGTCTGCAGTCGAAGGAGCAAACCCAAGTGCCGCAAGTGTCGTCCTCAGTGTGTCGTGCCACTCACGAGGCGCCTGGCGGAGACCGTAGACTGGCCGCCGGAGGCTCCACTGGGTACCTGCAGGAAACGACCTTGTAAAGCCAGGTGGGCGGCGCAGCCAGATCTCCTCATGCAGGCTGCCCTGTAAGAAAGCTGTGTTGAAGTCAAGAGAGTGAAGCTCGTAGTCACACTGAGCGGCAACGTGCAGCAGCACCCAAAGAGTGGTCATTTTTTAGGTAGGGGAGAAGGTATGGAAGAAGTCAACTCCTTGATGCTGAGTAAAGCCTCGTGCAACGTAACGAGCCTTGTAGACAGGCGGAGAACCCGACGGCCGCTTCACCCTGAAAATATATATGCCATCGACTATGTTCACCTTATGAGGGGGAACAGCGTCGACGTAAGTGCCTGTGGACTTCCAGAATGCCATATTTGCATCCATGGCTGCCTGTCATTAAGAGGAGTAGGGACCCGTACTCGCCTCTGCGTAAGAGTGCGGGGTCGGGATGTCCAGTGCATCCGGGTCTCCCTCTGGTGTAAGCAGCATGGCCACGAGATGAGGTACAGCGGCTGCAAGACACTCAAAGTCCTCCTGCCTGTCCTCAAGGACGTCCGTGCCAAGAGCAGACTCACCCCCGACGGACGGAGGACAGACAGACTCAGACTCTGCAACAAGACTAGCGGCGTAGTCGAGACGACAAGCAGCAGCAAAGTCAACAAGCTCAGCGACTAAGGCAGATGCACCGGTGGACTCAAACAAAGGGTCAGTGACAACAGTGGCTAGGAGACGCGTGACAGTAGGGCTGGCAGCACGAACCAGGTCAGACTCAGGGTCCGGAACGTGCGGAAGAGAGGACGCAGGAGGAGACGGCAGAGGGACATGCTGTGGAACAAAGGAAGGACGAAGTGTCATAGTATAAGTACCAGAGACAGGAGGAGGACGCTGACAAGGAACACGACGACCAGTGCGAACAGGCGAGTCGGGACGAGACGCAGGTCACGACGCTTTATAAGCGAGTCTGTCTGCTCAGTGTAAGGAGAAGGAGCAGGTAGTGGGGAGCCTGGCTGTAACGGGAGACCAGTAGAAGACGGAAGGCTAAGAACCTGGCGAAGTACGGAGTCAGGCGGTGGCAGAGACGACGGTGACGGCAGGGCGAAGAACAGTGACGGTTGTGCAATACCACCAGCACCAGTACCACTAGCACCAGAACCTCCAGTATGAGTACCAGCATCTCCAGCGCTTTCAGCAGCTCCAGGACCTCCAGCGCCAGCGCCTCTAGCTCCAGCGCATCCTGCTCCAGTACCTCCAGCTTTAGCGTCTCTAGCTCCAGCGCCTCCAGCGCCAGCGCCTCCAGCTCCAGAGCCCGCAGCACCACCAGCTCCGGCAGCTTTAGCACCTCCAAGACGAGCACCTCCGGGACCAGCAGTGCCAGTACCACCAGCACCTCCAGCACCAGCAGCACCACCAGCTCCGGCAGCTCCAGTACCTCCAGGACCAACAGCTCCAGCTCCAGGGGCCGCCAGCACCAGGGCCTCCAGCACCAGCGCCTCCAGCTCCAGCGTCTCCAGCCGCAGCGCCTCCAGCTCCAGCAGCGCCACTCCGAAGGCGGCAGGGCTGAGCGTACCACTCGCGAAGCTGCTGTGGTGAGAGAGCACCTCCAGTACCTCCAGTACGAGCACCTCCGGGACCAGCAGTGCCAGCACCACCAGCACCACCAGTACTGGCAGCACCACCAGCTCCGACAGTTCCATCCAGTACGAGCACCTCCAGGACTGACAGGTCCAGCTCCTCCAGTACCTCCAGCACCTCCAGGACTAGCATCTCTAGGGCCTCCAGCTCCAGCAGCGACACTCCGAAGGCGGAGCTGCTGAGCGTACCACTCGCGAGGCGAGAGACTCCCGGAGTGAAGAAGCAGTACCCCTAGGCACAGCACCCCTAGACTCAGCACCCCCAGGCTCCACACGCTCAGGCTCAGCACCCCCAGGCTCAGTACTCCCAGCAGCACCAGAGTCACCAATGACCTTGACAGGCTCAACCAAGGGAAGGGGGTCTACCTGAGACACACCTGAAGGAGCAGGACCCTGAGGGGGAAGGGGGTCTACCGGAGGGGGAAGAGGAAGAGCGGCGGAAGGGGGGGAGGGGCAGTGTGGTAGGGGAAGAGACGGTAGAAAGGAACCGACTCGTCAAACGTGACGTCCTGAGAGGGGAAGACACGGCGCGAGGTGGGGTGGTAAAACTGCCAGCCAGGTGTGTCAGAGACAAAGCCAAGGAAGATGCAGGGAATGGCGCGGGAGGAGAGCTTGTCCGCGGAGGTATCGCGGACAAAGGCACGAGCGCCCCAGACCCGGAACACTGGCGCATCGCCAACCTTTCCCGTCCAACTCAGTGTAGGCGAGGTCTCTGGCAAGGAGACACGGGGCCAGATGTTGAGCTGATGCGCAGCGGACCGCAAACGGCCACAGAAAATGGGGAGCAGCCGCATGGATCATGGAGGTACGAGCGACCTCCATGACTAAGCCAAGGCAACGCTCAGCAACCCCAATCTGCTGCGGGGAGGCCGGAAGTGTGAACGACTGGAGGATGCCCTCCCCACGACAAAAGTCCCGCAAGAGGTTGGAGGGAAACTCACCGTCTCTGTCAGAGTGCAGACGCAGGACATGGAGGTCCATTTGGAACCGCTCGCGGAGTTGGAGACGAACAGCGCACATGCAAGGGATCAGAACACTAGGGACCTCCTCCTTGCTGCGCAAGGGGAAGACCGTGGTGTAACGCGAGTAGTCGTCAACCACCAGCAGGAAGTAGCGCTCGCGGCCCTGTCCCTGGACGCGGGCTGGGCCCCACACGTCCATGTGGAGAGTCTGCAGGGGAGCAGTCATCAGGGGAAACGAGGAGGAGTGAGGAGCGGCGCGCTGCCGCCCCTCGACGCAAGGAAGGCAAGGCGGCGCAGGCGAGCGCGGGAGGGGGGGCAGAGACCTGGGAAGGCCAGTCACAAGGAGGCAGGAGTGCATGCTACGGAGGTGTGGCAGGGAGGGGTGACCAAGGTGGTGGTGCCAGAGGACTGCCTGGTGTGAAAGGTGGCGACACGAGCTACCTGACCTGACGCGGACACCTGACCAGACGCAGCTACCTGGGGAGGCTCAGTAGTCAGTGTGTACAGGCTCGACCCAGGCCGACGGGTGAACGTGGCCAGGTGACGGCCCGTCCGTGCACACGTGCAGATCGCCACACGCTGTCCTCCAAGGGTAAAGGTGTCAACCCAAGCATTCTGAAGGACGGCGTTACTCATCAAGTTCGTAGAGATGAAGGGAGGTGAAGGCCTGTCAGTGAGCCAGACGGAACTGCCGGACACGGAAGAACAGTGGAGGAACGTGCAAGGACTGGGCCCCCTGAGGGGTCAGCCAGAGAGACTGCAACAGGTGCAGGGAGTGGTGTGACTGTAGTGCTGTCGCGAAAGAAGCAGCGGGAAGCACCTGAGTCAAGGGTGAAGGTGTGCAAGGCCTCAGCAGGCGCAGTACCAGAGAGAGCAGACTCACTAGCACCTAGAGCAGCAGCCGCTATACCAGGGTCAGGGGGCACACACAGGTAACTACCAGTCAGAGCATACATGGCAGTAAGGATAGTGCCATAGCCTAGAGCAGATATATCCACCTTGTTGCGCAGCAGCTCTAGCCAGGGGGGGAGCTCAGCCTCGTCGCCAAACACTGCACGCCAGGCGTCGCTCGGACAGGCGAAGCAGCGAGCCTATATGTGACCAACTGTCCCGCAAGACTAACCAGCCCGATGACCCGTGCGAATGACGTACGGGCAGCGGGCAGTACTCCTAGACCCCCCACTCTGAGCGTACCACTCACGAAGCTGCTGGCGCGTAAGGGTCTCGCTCGGACGCCGCTGCAGCTGCATCTGGCCACCGCCAGAAACTCCGCACTGAACAGCTCCACCGCAAATGCCACAACGGCCGCCGCCAGCAGACCACCTGGCATACCACTCACGAAGCTGCTGGGGCGTAAGGTGGACGCCGCGATAGCTGCATCTGGCCACCGCCAGAAACTCCCCACCGAACAGCTCCACAGCGACTGCTACTACGGCCGCCACCACTCCCACTGCTGCCACCACCGCCGTCACCACTCCCACCGCTACTACGAAGTGAAGTCATAGCGGGCAAGCAAGGAGGCGCGCGACCAGTAGGGCAGTACGGAGGGAAGGCTGAAGCACGAGCCGCACTTGTACCCACAGTCTTCTCCATGCAATCATTCCTGCTCGTTAGTTTCTGACATGGTTTCAGAGCAGTAGGTCCGTAGGACTATTTTTTTTTCGGGCCCACCATTACCTAGTGATCGACTGCGGTTACCGAGTTACCCCACGCCCTACCCTGTGCTGCGCCGTCAGCGCGCGCCCTGCCCTGTCCTGCCTTGCGTCACACTGCCCGTGTACGCCCTGCCCCGCGTCGCGCTGCCCCGCACACACCCTGCCCTGCCCCGCGTCGCGCTGCCCCGCGCACGCCCTGGAGGTGCTCGTCCCGGAGTTGCTGGAGCTGCCGGAGCTGCCGAAGCTGGTGGTGCTGCGGGCTCTGGAGCTGGAGGCGCTGGCGCTGGAGGCGCTGGAGCTGGAGACGCTAAAGCTGGAGGTACTGGAGCTAGAGGCGCTGGCGCTGGAGGTCCTGGAGCTGCTGGTACTCATACTGGAGGTGCTGGTGCTGGTGGTACTGCACAGCCGCGACTGTTCTTCGCTCCGCCGTCACCGTCGTCTCTGCCACCACCTGACTCCGTGCTTCGCCAGGTTCTTAGCCTCCCGTCTTCTACTGGCCTCCTGTTACAGCCAGGCTCCCTACTGCCTGCTCCTTCTCCTTACACTGAGCAGATAGACTCGCTTATAGAGCGTCATGAGCCTGCATCTCGTCCCGCCTTGCCTGTTCGCACTGTTCGCACTGGTCGTCGTGTTCCTCGTCAGCGTCCTCCTCCTGTACATGGTACTCACACTATGACACTTCGTCCTTCCTCTGTTCCACAGCGTGTCCCTCTGTCATCTCCTCCTGAGTCCTCTCTTCCGCACGTTCCGGACCCTGAGTCTGACTTGGTTCGTGCTGCCAGCCCTACTGTCATGAGTCTCCTAGCCACTGTTGTCACTGACCCTTCGTTTGAGTCCACTGCTGCGTATGCTTAGTCGCTGAGCTTGTTGACTTTGCTGCTGCTTGTCGTCTCGACTACGCCGCTAGTTTTGATGCTGAGTCTGAGTCTGTCTGTCCTCCATAGTAAATTGTGTTGTACCATATAAGGGCTACCCCAGTACAGCCTACGCAGCACAAACATGATAAAGTTTTACAGATTCGTGTGGCTGCCACACTGTACCACGCGAAACGCAACTCTGTGTTGTCAGGAAGTTATCCGTGTGATTGAGACAATGTACACGCGAAACGGAGCAAACCACACGAGATCTGTCTTGTGGGATTTGTCCGCCACGTCAGGCAATCTTGATTAACTCTAAGTAAAGATTCTTGTTTTGTCGGGTTCAGGGACGCGAAAATCACCCTTCATTTTTTGTCGCGCATCAAACTAGGAAATAAACAAAAAACACTTTAATTAAGCCAAGATTTCGGTGTTTTGGGCATTCCTGATACGAGGTTGGCCTGATATGAGGCCGTAGGAACACGCTCTGGGGTATGGGAAACACCAAGAACGTTGTAAAAAAGGCAGTAGTGCGTCGCACGACTCGCGACGATGTTGGTCCAACGTCACGCTGGACGAGGGTGGGGTTGGGGCACCACCGAGGCGCATTGCAAGCTTATGCATGCACTATATTCAACCGAAAACGCTTAGCTGCCTCCCCTCCCTGCTTCATCGCTTCCATCCATCGCTAGTTCATTTCAGCTCATAACATTGTCACATTCACGCGCTCACGTAAAGAAATGTAATTCCTTACTGTACTCGCAATTTAGCGAGTACATCCTGAGGGTCACGCGTCGCACCGAACCACTCACGAATCACCTCGACTCAATCGCAACCATCACCGAGCCATCTTCGCCCTACCTCTTCGCCTAGCTGTAACTTCCCCTATTTAGGCCTCATCACTTTCTATGTATCGTCACTCAGTATTCGACGTTCTATTTATTTGTTTTACTGTGCACTTTGCACGTTTTTTCATAACAGTTCAATTGTTATGAGTTGTCAAACAGAGTTGCGCGGAATAACGAATAACGAGGCTGTGACTCAATGAATCTGAGAATACAATGAATGCGAGAACTAATGTAGGCTAGCCTAGCTAGGAGGAAACCTCGGTCAAGCGAGGTTGGGTGCAGGTTTGGCGATGGGAATGCCGAAGGCGACGCGAGGAGCTTCGGCAGCGTGGAAATCGCCCGATCGTGCGAACTCCGAAAATCGGGTTGTACGCGCAGCAGTCAACCCCGATAAGGAATTCGAGAAAATTCCTTACACCACCCCCCCCCTTAAGAAAGGCGGTCAATATCCGAAACACGCTTGCGTGCCAAATAATCACCAACAAGTGGCGAGGCGTCGAGCGAGGCGGATGGCACCCACGTGTCGTCCTCACTGGTGCGATCAGTCCAGCGGATTAAGAAATCCACGTGTCGGCCAGCTGCGTCAAGTCGAACCCGATGAGCGAGAATCTTCGATGGATCGAGTGTCGGCTCCGGGACAGGTCGAGCTGTCGGGACGGCTTGCCGACGTGCGATGTCGGTCGTGGCTGGCACGAACTTGCGAAGCAGGCTGACGTGGAAGGCGTCATGAATTCGCCAGTCGTCCGGTAGTAACAGCTTCGCGGTGACAGGTGTCACCATCTTGATAATCTTGAACGGTCCGCAAAATCGG